ATTTAGATTTAGGTATCGCGTGAATAACCTTTGCACACAGGGATTCCAGAAACCATCGACCAAAATGCTATTAGGCCATTTATTAGAGACCTTTTTAGTACTCTTCTACCTGGTGGGAAGACCTAAGTATCTATCCACAACTACGATGAGAGATATGCTGTTGAGAGTCTACTTCTCCCATGTGAAAAAAAATATTCTGACCTATTTAACGGTATCCAAGTCTATGCAGACTTATCAACGGCAACACTACAATAGAGGAAGATTTTGTCTCCCATCACAACAGCTTTGCGTATACTTTAGTTTTATTGTTGTTGTTGTTATTTGTTGAATGAGAGTCATTTCACGCACTATAGCCTAAATTGCACAAACCCCAGAAAACACTATGTTACCAGTCAGAACTCACAGAACTGGTATGAGAGGATAATTGCCTACCTTCTTATCCCTAAAAACTCATGTTCACTACATGCGCGACCCAAGAAACTGGGAATAATGATAGCCCAATTTTTGTTCAGAACCCTAGCGACTTTTCTGAATACCTGTATTATGAAGATTGCTAGCTATAATGTTAGAGTTAAACATCCTCTCCAATGGTCATTTTTGCAGTCACAATATGGCAGGTCATTGAGGTCAGTTTTAGATTTGCACAATATTACTGATATCTGGCATGCTTTTCATCCTGGTTAAAGAGATCTTTTGTTTTACTCTCTTCCACATAACTCAAAAATTTTGCTCAAGTCACTCACTGCATTGTTGGTACATGTACGTGGTCAGATCATGCTCCGATTACCTTATCCCATAGGGATCAATACAGTTATAACGGTAAAGGCTTTTGAAAATTGAATGACTCCTTACTTTCAGATATCTCATTTGTAACGCAGATTCATAAAGATGTATCCCATTACTTTCAGTCCAATAACACACCAGAGATAAAAACGGCAACACTCTGTAGTTAGAGATGTATTTATTCAAAGAGCATCTCACATGAAGAGGCGGCACGCTGCTCAGTTGGCTCAATGGCTAATGGAACTAGAAAAACTAATGAATGACAATGAAACAAGTCCCTCTCCTGACTTGGCTTCATGCATTAAATCACTGAAAGTACACATTGATTACATAAATTTACAAAAATCCAAATTTCAGTTAACTTTGCCAAGATCAAAGGCTTATCAACAGGGAAACAAAGCAGGTAAGTTGCTTTCCAACAACTTAGAGCACGTCAGGCTCAGTGACATACATATTTGATATCATCTGATAAAGGTAAAGTAATAACTTCTCAAGACATTAGTGAAGAATTTGCTGATTTCTACGAATCCTCGTATATATCTCCTTACTACTCCAAATGTTGACATCCCATCAATAAATGCTATAGAAGACTTTATTCAAAGGGCCTAGTTACCCATTCTGACAGCAGGTCTGAAACTATTTCTATCAGAACCTATTACTTATAAGGGAATACTATTCATTATATCTAAACTTCAACAGGGGACTAGATGATTTATCAAGCAAATACTATAAAACCTTTGCAATTATTTTGACTCCTATTATGTTATCTGTATAAAAATCCAGGGCCACATAATGGGATTACTGCCAGAATATCATTATAATGCCCAAGCTGGGTAAACCACCTAAAAATTGTAAAAACTGTAGAAAAATACCCTTGCTAGATATAAATACTAAAATCTATGCAAAAATGCTAGCTAATAAGATCAATGAGTTTCTTCCTTGTCTGGTCCGTGAAAACCAGGTGCGGTTCATGAAAGGCCGTCAGGAAACAGAAAACTCCCACAAGGTGGTGAACCTGTTGGAACACGTTCAGTGTTCTGCTCTTCTTGATACTGAAGAAGCCTTTGATAGGCTGAGCTGGGGGTTCCTCACATCGGTCCTCAGTTCATTTTACTTCCCTGAATGTTTAATTTTGAAAAAACTACATAACAAACCAGGAATTGTTGGGAATAGACCAAGGAATTGCAGCTATTATGTAAAAAATAGGCATATTTGAAAAATTCTCTAATACAGCTATGCCGTCATGTTGGCTATTTTGTCCTTACATTTGCAATATTCTGGTCAGCACAGTAAAGGAGTTTAAGCATGCGTGGGATAGGCATAAGGCTACCCTAACTATAAGATAAGGCTAGGGACTAATGAAAGTATTTAGAAAATTGGGCAGACTAGATGGGCCGAATGGTTCTTATCTGCCGTCACATTCTATGTTTCTATGTTTCTATGTCAACTCTTCACACTTGCCAGTTTAGTGAATAAACCCCCAATGTTATGCAGTTGCAATGTTACCCTTACTGTGCATTCCATTAGCAGCTGGTGTTCAAACCACAGTCCTTCTATAATCCTGGTGGAGTGTAAGGATATCTGTAATACAATCAACCAACTGGCATTGCTCATCAGTGGTCAGGGTGCTATGTGTCATCTGAAAGCCAGTAGGTTTATTCATCAAACCAGAAATTAGGGCGGACTTCACAAGGGAATTACACATTTAGGTCCAAATGTTTGAGATTTCCTGGTAGGATACTTTAACCTAATGATCTCAAGCCAATTCCCCAATACAGATTAGCTTCCAACTCGGCTATTTTCCACAGTTCCTACAATTCAGAGGGTTATTCACTAAAGTGAGAATTACTGGGAATCCAAAGTGAACTTAAAATTTAATGGGATACTAATGGCACCCAGACCACTTCATCTCAATGAAAAGGTGTGGGAGCTGTGGCACTTGATGTTTGCTCCTGCAATATAAATCATTGCCGTTTTGGAGATTTGGGATTGTTTTTATGGCAAGGCTAAACATACCTCTCGTGGGTGTCATCTTGACATCTCGGCACTCCAGATGTTGTGGACTGTTGTGGAAGGATGTCTATTCCTATTCCTTCCTTCTGTGACAACTGATGCTAATGGTTCTAATAATTAAGCATTTTATTGGAGAAGTGTAGCACTTGGCGTAATATGCACTTCTCATCCCCAAGGTTTCTCTATGAGAAGTTTTGGATTGGACGAGAAGCCGAAGAAGAGTCACATGACATGGGAGACAGGTGGCTGCTATGAATGAGGGCTCGGTGCTGGAAACAAGGTAAGTAAAACCCTTGATTTAATTTGATAGGGGGGGTCTAGACCCTGAATAGTTTCAAAAACCATCTACAGTGTTGGGAATACTTGTTTGTGTTCCTAACGCAATAGGGTTTCTTTAGCTGCAGCTCCATCAGACCCTATGTTAATCCAGATATGTACAAAAAAATGAGGATACAGCTGTGGATCTGCAAAAAGAAAATAAAACAAATGATAGTGTAACACTGTATAATAAACAATATGTGCGCTATGTAGAATATAACTCACAGGATGGACAAATAAATGGCGCCAAAGGGTGCCTCCCCTGATATTGATGGGGGGCAATAGCACTGCCTCTAATCCCAGGAAGACAAAATTGGACTCAGAATATGGAGTAGAAATTTTTTTTCTTCTTTATTAAAAAAGTATATAAAATGTAATACATATAAAAAAGCTGTTATGGTACCAGGTCCTACGCGTTTCGTCCAGATGTTAATCCGGCCCTGACTTTCTTTAGTAAAAAACCATGTGTGTAAATAATCCTGTCAGTGTGCGTTGTACTTGAGAACTTGAGTTAAATGTTAAACTCTTGATCTTACACCATCAAAGCTTAACGAATTGTTACTTCACATGATCCTTAATATTGTGTTTACTTATCCTCTATATTTAACAAGGTGTGAAAAATAAAATTAATTGTAAAATCCTTACATCTATCCTGGAACCGGGCACCTCCCTTTTATCTCTCCATCAGTCATCATTATTAATGTTGCTCTTTCTGTCATTGAACTTAGGTAGTGGAAGACTAGAATACAATGTTTCTATTTCTCCTCCTCATTTACCTTGAGTGTTTTAAATGTCCCTGGATTATAATGTCACATGCTAAATGTTTAATATCCATTTAAAAGAAACAGAGTATCACAGGAAATTAGGGATCGACCGATTATCGGTTTTACCGATATTATCGGCCGATATTCGGTATTTTCGGCAATATCGGTATCGGCCAATTCAGATACCGATATTGCCGATAATACCTCCTAGGACCGCCGGGCTCATTACAAACCCGGCGGTCCTGGGGGGGCGGAGAGCAAGCGCTTACTCACGTCCCAGCAGCTCCTCCAGCTCCCCAATGCAACTCTCGCGAGACCCGCGGCCTTCCGAGCGTTGCCATGGATCACCATGGCAACGCTCCGCGCGACACGCTGGCCGCGAGAGTTACACTGGGGAGCTGGAGGAGCTGCTGGGAGGTGAGTAAGCGCTTGCTCTCCGCCCCCCCAGCTCAGCCAATACCACCAGGGACTGTCATATCCCCCTTCCCTGGCCAGGTAACAAGCAGGGAGGGGGGACAACAAAAATAAATAAGAATTAATTATACATTTTTTTTTTTTAAATAATTTAATAAAAAATGCCCCCTCACACACTGCATTATATACACACACTATACAAACACACTGTGTATATAATGCAGTGTGTGTGTTTGTGTAGTGTGTTTATATAATGCAGTGTGTGTTTGTATAGTGTGTGTATATAATTCAGTGTGTTTGTATAGTGTGTGTATATAATTCAGTGTGTTTGTATAGTGTGTATATATAATTCAGTGTGTTTGTATAGTGTGTGTATATAATTCAGTGTGTTTGTATAGTGTGTGTAAATAATTCAGTGTGTTTGTATAGTGTGTGTATATAATTCAGTGTGTTTGTATAGTGTGTGTATATAATTCAGTGTGTTTGTATAGTGTGTGTATATAATTCAGTGTGTTTGTATAGTGTGTGTGTATGCAGTGTGTGTTTGTATAGTGTGTGTATATAATGCAGTGTGTGTTTGTGTAGTGTGGGTATATAATGCAGTGTGTTTGTGTAGTGTGTTTATATAATTCGGTGTGTGTTTATGTAGTGTGTTTGTGCAGTGTGTTTGTGTAGTGTGTATATAATGCAGTGTTTGTGTGTGTGTATATAATGCAGTGTGTGTGTATATAATGCAGTGTGTTTGTGTAGTGTGTTTATATAATGCACACTACACAAACACACTGCATTATATACACACACTCTGCATTATATAAACACACTACATTCACTATACACACACTACACAAATACACACACACACTCTGCATTCATTATATACACACACACTTTGAATTTAGTATATACAGCATTCACTTTACGCACACTACCCACACACTCTGCTTTCATTATATACACACTACACTAATACACACTACACTAATACACACTGCATCCCCTACACAAACACACATTGCATCCTCCACACACTGCATCCACAACACACACACTACACAAACACACACTGCATCCACTACACACACTACACAAACACACACAGCTCCCCTGTCACACTGCATCCACTGCACGTTGCATGTATATTTTGTGCATTTACCTTTAGAAATAGTTTTTATTTTCCAAAATGGTAAATGTACAGAATATCGGCAAATTATATCGGCTATCGGCCTGAAAGTTCACAGAATATCGGTATCGGTATCGGCTCTAAAAAATCAATATCGGTCGATCCCTACAGGAAATAGACTAACACAGGTCACTGGTCTATTTCCAATTTTATAACATGACAGGAGGCTTCCTATTTTGCATTAACTCTCTTTACTAAACTCCAGAGCAGTAAAGAAAAACGTAAAGAGTAACAGGTAAATCACTGAGCAGCATAGTATATAAGGGTCATGCTGCCTGTACACTTCCTCTTTCTTTACTGCTCCATCGCAGACAGGTCAGACTATTTGCTCCCCTGGAGCTTTATTCATTTATTGTCATTAATCTTTTTGTTCCATCATTCTATTATTTGCTTGTTTTTGTTATTATTATTGCTTTTCTAGCTACTTCTTTATATAGCTGTAATTCCTTATACTGGGCTGTGGGACTAGGGGCTCTCTGTGGGTTTTCCCCTCCTTTCTGCCCCTCTACTGATTCTGGGACCCCCCCCCCCCTTGGCTTCCCCAGGTCCCCCCACCGCCCTTCTAGTTTGGAGTGCCCTCCTGGGCTCCCTCCTTGCGGCCGAAATCGTTTGCGGCCGTTTTCGCACCGGCCCGCTTCCGCCCGCGGCCGGCCTCAAAATTTAGTCCCCGGCTTGCGGCCTACACTCGCGGCCGCCATTTTGGATCGCGGACATCGCGAGATTCTCGCGGCCATCTTAGTTTTACCTCGTGCATCTCATTGGGGACTCAGTGTTGCTGTGCTAGCTTGCTGTCACCTCTACCTTGCTGGTTTTCACCCCTATTGTGTCTGGCACCCCTGTCTAGGATTACCTGCTCAGCATTCCATCTGCTTCAAACAGACTCCTACTCAGTTTCTGTGCCTTCATCTGCTTCTATCAAGCTATATCCTGTGGCTGGGTCAGTCAGGTCAGTGCTGCTGCCTGTTTATCATTGTGACCTGCACTTAAGGGTCCCGACCCTGTGCAACCGGCGTGAGCCCCACTATAAATACGCTGCTTATTGGGAGACTAGCTGTCGCAGTTCTCTCTAACTGGGTGAGCCCCAGTTTATAAGGTCACTGCTACACCCTGCTGGGGTTTATACTGGGCGTTGTTCCCACCATACTATTACAACTGACCCCACGCCTATTGTCAAGACCTGGGTGCCCGTTTACTACTGTGCCTTTCAGTGACATATCAGCCTACCCTTAACATGGAAGATTCCCAGAACGTCCCTGTGGACTTCCAGGCCATGATTAAGGCAGCTGTCGCTGCCTCTGTGGAGAAGGCACTCTCCAAGGCCCGAGCTTCGGCTCCTGACGTACCAAAAACCTGCAGACGTCCACGCCACGAGTCGGATTCTGAGGTGTCCGACTATCAGACAAGGGATGACTCCCGCCCTAAAAAACGCCATGAGAAAGACGAGGATTATGCACCCAAACCACCTAAGGGTAAGGCACCTGCCAAGCGTAAATCTGCCAAACTACACACCCCGGCCCCGCGTCAGGAGTACTCTTCAGACGAAGAGCAGGGCCCTGCCCATTCCATGTCAGTGCTGGATGAGTAGCAAGCTTCTGAGTCGGACTATGACGCATGGGGTTCGGACGAGAAGTTTGTCTCCTCTTTCATGCGGTAGACCCTCCTGGGTGTGGCCCAGACAGGAGGTATCGAGGACACTGCAGACGCAGAACCTCCTCTGGACTCAGACACCATTTTGGACCCCTCAGGTCAGGCGATGTTCGACCCCCGCAACATACGGCACCCCAGATCGGGTGACTAGTCGCCTCCAGAACACCTTTCCAGGTTCATGCACCTGTGGCTCCGCAAACCTCTGGAGAAAGAGGTCCGCAGCCGACTCAGGTCTGAATGCCCACGCCCTTCCCTGCCAGATAAGGTCGCTCAGACCCCAGAATTTGACAAGGTTATGACAACCTTCATGATGCGCAGTGGTAGAGACCCTCGCCGAAGGGTAGAGAAAGGCCTATGGGGCGCTCAAGATAACCTGCTGGGTTCCGTAGGCCCCCTGGCTTGCATTATGTATCTGGCGGATGATGCCTACGCCAAAGCCGACTCCTTCTCTGCCGAGGACATCAGGGAATGGGCACATGACGTTCGTGAGTGGGCACAACAGTGTTTTTGTTTCACCGGAAACACTAATGTTGCGCTCTCTTCGGAGAGACAAAAAGCAGCGTTATACCGTATTAACGGTAAATTGGCAGACCTTGGCACAAAAGAGATTGGGCCCCAGGCACAAGGAAAACTATTCGGTGAACCGTTCCTCAAGGAACTTAACAAACACGTGAACGTGTTCACCTCCCGTAATAAAGCGCAGTCCTCAATGCGCAGAGTTTTCAGAAGCAACCCTACCAGAGGGGTTTTTGGAAGGGCTGGCCGGCAATGGGGCCGTGCCTCCAGCCGATTCTGGCCTTCGGGTCCCCTTACTCAACCAACACCATTTTATCCAACAAGAGGCTATCGGCAGCAACCCTTTTCCAGAGGCTCGGATAGAGGCTGTGGAGTTTGCGGACGCGGACGTTCCCGCTTTGCTGCAGGTAAGCACCCATATTCCTCCGTTGTTACCATGCACCCGCACTGCAGGCCGTATTTCCCTTTCTTTCCAGAATTGGGCCGCCCTATGCTCAGACACATGGATTCTACAAACAGTGCAGGGATATATCATAGACCTAGTGGGGACCCCCTTTCAGGTTCAGCCCCCCCGCCCCATCCACATGTCATCTTCCGACCACAACCTCGTCAACGCAGAGCTATGCGAGCTTCGAGACAAAGGGGCTATCCAGCCGGTCCACGACGGGGGAGGTTACTTCAGATTATTTCAGCAACATCTTCCTGGTTCGGAAAAAGTCGGGAGAATACCGCCCTGTCATCAACCTACGCGCCCTCAACGCGTACGTGGTCTACCGCCACTTCAAGATGGAGGGCATCCACCTCCTGCGAGACCTTCTTCGGAGAAACGACTGGTTCACCAGGCTCGATCTAAAAGTAGGATACCTGTCAGTCCCGGTGCACCCGGACTGTCGAGCACTCCTACGTTTCCTCTGGCACGGACGCCCTTGGCAATTCGGGCTCAGCTCAGCCCCATGGTGTTTCACCAAGCTCCTAAAATCCACAGCCTGCCCCGGGAAAGATCCAACTGCTGCATCCTCCTGCGCATGGACAATGTCTCCACAGTCCAGTACATCAACCGCTTGGGAGGCGCACGCTCACGCCTGCTGTCGGATATCACGAGGGACATCTTCGACTATTGCCTCCCTCGCAACATCACGCTGCAGGCAGAATACCTACCGGGAGAAATCAACCTCACAGCTGGCTGGTTCTCTCGCCACTGGAGAGACGTCAGCGACTGGAAGCTAAACACGAGAATCTTCAGGGCCCTGGCAGCCCAGAGGGGTCCCTTTCACCTGGATCTGTTCGCCTCTCGCAACAATCACCAGACCCCGGAGTTCTTCAGCTGGCTCCCGGACCCGGAGAGCAAAGCGACAGATGCATTTCTCCAACAATGGCCGACGACAGGAGCCTATGCCTTTCCCCCATTCTCCATGATTGCGAGAACACTACACCAGATGCGGACGCAACAGATCACACTGGTTTTCATAACACCCTTGTGGCAGAGCCAACCATGGTTCCCGGACCTCCTGGCCTCCTCCTACAAGGATCCTCTTCTCCTACCATCCTTCCCGGACCTGCTCACGGATCCCAAGGGGTATCTTCACCCGCTCCTCCTGGAAGACCGGCTACCCCTGGTGGCTTGGTCTCTTTCCGGGGTTCCTGGCGAGTCAGCGGACTATCGCAGGCTTCTAGGGACCTCTTATGGGACTCATGGGCCCCGGGAACTAGACGCTGTTACCTTTCAGCTTGGGCATCCTGGTCTACTTGGTGCATGGAATGGGACTCAGATCCATTTACAGCACCTATTCCCATGATTCTTAATTTTCTTTCCTCCTTGTTTTCATCAGGCCGCTCTTACCGTTCTGTCAACGTCGTTCGCTCCGCGATTTCGGCGGCCCATACCCCCATCGGGGATCTCCCGGTTGGCAAAGACCCTCTGGTCTGCCGCCTACTCCGCCGCCCCACGGCCCCCAGACACCCTCATCTATGGGATGTTGGACTGGTTCTCCGTTTTTTCAGGGATTGGCTTCCGAATGACCGCCTCTCCCTACGCCAATTATCCGCTAAGTGCGCTTTTCTTCTTTGTCTAGTGTCTTTTCGACAGGTTTCGGACGTTCGGGCCTTCGACGTTGACTCCTTCGAGGTGGCCCCTGAAGGGGTCACATTCCACATTTCCCGTCGCACTAAGTCGGGTTCAACGTCGGTCTTTTACCCCTTTTTTCCCGACGACCCGCAGCTCTGTGTCGTGTCCACCCTCCGCAGGTATGTTTCTGTTACCTCCTCACTCCGTTCCTCTACGTCGGGTCAACTCCTAGTCTCCTACGTGCGCCCTCACGCCCCAGTCTCGGTCACCACGCTGGCCCGATGGCTCCGCTGGATCCTTTCCCTCGCAGGTATAGACCCCACTTTCGGTGCCCACTCCGTTCGCGGAGCGGCGGCTTCATCAGCCTTCCTGGCAGGGGCGTCCCTGTCGGACATTCTCCGAA